GCACACCAGTGGTGGCCAACACTTACTCTTATGTGAGGACTCAGTCTTCTTCGGCGTCTTCTTGTCACTCATAGCCTCCTTGAGCTGACTCTTCAACGAATCCAATTCACGTCTGGAAGCCATCGATCCCTCAATGGTATGATAATCACGACAACTAAGATAGAGAGTGTCCGCGACTGCGATCAATGGGTGCACGCAATGCAGATAATCCGTAAACCGTGGGATCTATTGGCTTCACACCACCGATGGTCACCACAAACCGCAAGTCTCGCCGCAAACTAAACGGCAAACGAATGGCTGGTTTCGCAGACTTCGTGCACACAATGGATGAGTGAATGAAACACCGAAACACTGTTTACATGAAATACTGTATTGTTTTCTGTCGGGTATTCAGTGTTTGCGTTCAATATCGCAAACAAATGGTTTGTATTTTGAATTCACAGTTGAAAAGCAAAAGCGGGAAAAGAATAGTGTTTTTCAATACACTTTCAAAATGGTTGGCATCCAGTGAATGGTCTCATTATAAACACTCGTATAGTGCACACCATGCGTCACACCATACGTGCACTGCACTGTCATATATGCACACTATTGGCATGAATTATACATTAAAATTACTAATAATTATAATCACATGTATATAACTGGATTAAAACTGATTATAATGTAATTTAATTGATTATAACGTGTCGTACGCTATACCGGGTGTTGCACTGTATGTGTCATATAAACCGTTGCATTGAATGCAAGCATAGACTGAATGTTCGATGCGATGCTTCGGCCCGCCCTATAATAACGTCACTCACATATAGCGCCCATTCATAGGCGGCCGTTGTATTGAGTGCATCGCCACCGGCTATAACCCCGGCTATAAACAGACGTATTGTATGCTATAATTGGTGTGCGTTTGGTGTCTCAGTGTTTGAATATTTGAATTTTTGCCGTCAAATGGCATACGAATAGCATAACGACTGCCAAACTGTCTCTCCATTCGCTCCCAAAGTGTTTGAAAAAGTTTTTGTACCAAAAGTTTTGCACTATTTTTATACAACACTTACGCCTCTAATGAGCGCTATTTTGGGACCAATCTCTTCGCTCAGCCACTGATCCGTTGATAACTTCTTACATCACATCACATATTGTTATATAACTCTCGTGTCGTGTAATCAGTGGTTATTGTCTTCTCATACGTGATGTCAGTGTTGGCGCGACTCACCATCGCTTCTGGACAGCCGTCGGAGCCGTCGTTTGCCATGAGATCCAAGTCAGTGACCATCGGATACGATGACACCAATGATATCCGCGTTTATAACAATGGCATCGCTCCCGAAGACCAGACCACACTCCAGATCATTGCTCTCAACAATGAAAACAATGTCCGTCCGATGGAGTTCTTCGTCCGTTCACTCAATGGTAGGTCTCGTTGTTTGTGTGGTTATCTCGTCAACTGATCCATCAATGCATGTCTTAACCACTTACAGGCAAATCGTTTCAATTGAATGACGTGTTGACGAGTGGTATGCGAAAAGTGGAGCTCAAGAACAACGATCGGCTGACCATCGGCTCCAAGACATTGCTGTTCAACAAAATGAAGCCACAGATGACTGAAAACAAACCGATGATTCCCAGCAAACAACCATTGAGTGAACAGTCATCCAAAGGCTGTGCCACTCCTGTGGTCATAGATCTGACGCCCAATGAGTCCAGTGGTGACGAAATCCAAGACTCAAATGTTTCAAATGCATCGATGACTCCAGACATCACCAGACAGAGCCAATCAATGTCTGTGAAGCCATGCAGTGTTAGTGTCACACCGATGGCCATCCACGACAACCCCAATGAATCCATTGATGACGGGATTACGGCTCCCGAACCCACTCCTGAGATACAGAAAACCAGATCTAAACGTATCATTGAATCCGTGGACCAGACGTCGAAACCGGTAGAAAAGGTGACCAAAAAGAAAGTGGTCATAGACTTGGCTCCCGAACCCACTCCTAAGATACTGAAGACTAGATCTAAGCGTACCATTGAATCCGTAGACCAGACATCCAAACCGGTAGAAAAGGTGACCAAAAAGAGGGGTCCGGCGCCTGCAAAGGCACCCAAAGTCAGTGCCACAGAACCAGTAGTTACTGAGGCCCGCAATGAGCCCACGGATGACCAAAATACCGACTCTAATGTAATGCAAAGTTTTAATAATTTGAGAGTTTTTGTGTTAATTTGTATTTATTTGACAGAAAACAGAAACTTCTGTTAAAAAGACACAAAAGACGACCAAAAAGAAAGTGGTGATAGACTTGCCTCCCGAACCGCCCACTCCTAAGATAAAGAACACCAGATCTAAGCGTACCATTGATTCCGTGGACCAGACATCCAAACCGGTAGAAAAGGTGACCAAAAAGAAAGTGGTCATAGACTTGGCTCCCGAACCCACTCCTAAGATACAGAAAACCAGATCTAAGCGTATCATTGAATCCGTGGACCAGACGTCGAAACCGGTAGAAAAGGTGACCAAAAAGAGGGGTCCGGCGCCTGGAAAGGCACCCAAAGCCAGTGCTAAACAGGAGATGGCAACAGAGGTTCCCGTTCAGGCCATTGATAATGAAAAAGTAATTTTTTCATTAAACTAGATTTTTTGGTTAAGTATTAATTTGTAACTGTTTTATAGGAAACCAGAAGAGGTGCGCCCCCTGTAAAGGCTCCCAAAACCAGTGTCAAACAGGTAAAGGCAACAGAAATTTCTATTGAATCCACTGAACATCAAAAGGTAATGTTTACCTAAAATTGCTATTTTCTAGAGTTTTATTTAAATTGTTTTTGTTTTATAGGAAACGGAACCAAAGGGGAGAAGGGGTCGAAAGGCGACCAAAAAGGCTGAGGAAGTGGTAGAGGTGGAGGTGCTGTCACCGGACGTGCCGAAGACCAGGAATACGAGGTCTAAGCGTCATATCGATTGCGTTGAACTGTCGCCCAAACCGGCGAACACAAGAGCCAAACGCAAAGCTAAGCCATAAAAGACTGAAAACATATTAAATGCGTGTGTTTTTGGCGTCCCTTCACTATTATTCAACTCTCGTAACCATAAGCCATATACCATACCATACCCTCACCGATAAGCCCTAACACATACACTACACTCTCGTAACTTATATGAAAGAATTCCGATATCTATTAGCTGTTCATAAAACTTCACGACATCCCCATTAGGGCTCATAATTTGATTTGTCGTTTTCAATAAGCTTTAAGAGAATAATTACTTTTTGCACTGTTTTTCGTACAGATATTATGAATAAATATTAAACAAATTAATGTCAATTATATTGAGCTCTTGTTTGCACAGTTAGTCCAATAGGAACGGCATAAGAGCTGTCATTCCCAGAGACACTAAAACAAACATTTGATTCATTAAATTAAGACTAACTCTCGACTCGTATATGAGTGATACAAGTGCTGAACAATTTGAGGCCAAATTAGAGGCCATTTTTGAATACAGCTATTCCTCGACGAGATATCTCTTTATTAGTTGTGACACAAC